TGTTAAAATTAAAGTCAAACATTTTTTTATGTAATTTAATAACTAAAATGTATATTAAATACATCACTTACATTTTACATAACATAAGTTAAAAAAACTCACACTCTTATTTATTACTAAAAAAAATAAAATTAATTTGTAAATAAATATTTTTAAATATCATAATTAATTATTTATAATTATTTGTTTGACTAATTGCTACTTTTAACTTTTCCCTAATCAAATGTAATTTCTTATGGATTTTATTGTCCTCATTGTTTGGCTTCCATCATTTTTCTTTTTCTTTTTTTTGGCCATCGGGTTCCATCATTTATGGTTGGATCAATTGAGTATGTAAAGATAATAAGACAAAATTTGTATGAAAGTGTGAATGATACTCTCAATTGAGTAAAGAAAGAAGCATATGCATAGATGAATAGTCTTCATCATCCTTTACTAAAGAACATTGAAACATGTTGGAGAATTGCAAAGATTTTGAAATTTGTTTTTAATTTTCACTTTATTTTGTACAATCAATCTTTGAGAACAAATAATATATTATACTCATAAAAATTAATGTTTATAAAAATTAAAAATCTAATTTATTTATTGTAAAATAATAATGTTTTCAAAGAAGCTACCGCTATTATCAATTAGCTTAACAAAACGCAGGTACTTCGCTGCTAACTAAACCTTGAAATTAAGTTGAGAGACTGGATGTTCAACTCCAAAGCTCAAACTTGCAAATTTAGTTAAAATTACCAAAAACAAAAGAGAATAAACAACTTACGACAGTTTATGTTAGTATTCAAGTATTCCAAATCACAGCCCTTTCTCCACGCAATTGTCACACATATTTCCAACCAGGACTGTCCAACTACAAACACTTGGGTTTTCTTCCCTGTTGCCTTTTTCATATCCTCTTCACATCCAGAAGAGGAAGACTATTATCCTCCATTAGGGAAGGAGAAAAGAATGTTGCCAATATTGACAAAAGGATAATCTTCCTTTTTTTCACAAGGCATCTCGAGCAGCAATTCTGCATGTTATAGCATCTGCAAGAGAGGATATCCCAAGCTCCACACCAGATATCTTGTAGTGCTGAAAAATATGATATAACGATCATTTATAGCTAGAAGAGGCATCAAAAAATGGAATGAGAATACTGAGGTGAGAATGCTAATAAACCTTTTGTATCTGGGCTAGGTTTGCTCTCTGCTGCAACTCTTCCAGATCAATCTCTTTCCCATTGATAAGCTTCTCTATAGCTTTCATCTAGAGAACAACAAGAGATTATTAACACAGAATGACTAAATATCACTTTATACAAAACAATAAATAGGCTACTGCACAAGAACAGTTAAGATACCATCTCACCTCATCAGATGAAGCATTGAATCGAGCTGCAAGGATGCAGGTTGTGCTATCAGAGATGCCACATCTTTTAAGTGACTCGGTAATCTGTCATGTGTTGAAGCTAGGGGCCATCAACCATTTAACTTCCAAACAGTCTAAAATTTGTCAATGAATTTCAATTGAGAAAGAAGATTACATGCTTGGATCCTGAGCAGTTGTAAACAAGTTCAGAATGAAGAGTGTGTGTTGTTAATGACTCACGAGACTTGGCAACAAGTGTCTTATGGGCAGCAGCAAGAACAGGGAAAACATCTGGGATCTGTCTCCAACATTGATATATGTGATTTTAGAGAACTATAACAAAATTAAGCTTTTGCAAGATTTTTAATAGAAAAAAAATTAGGTATGCTAGAAATGCACAAGGAATCCTACAAGTGAAGCATTAAGAAATGCAACTTCTGGTTCAAGTTTTCCAGCTTGCATGGAATCTAGGAGTTCCCTGCATGATGAAAAGTAACTTTGAGCTCACCTCACACAGATAGTCTTTCTGGTTCTAGCAATACATAAAAAATGAAGAGGGGAAAAATCCATCAATTCCTTTCTCTTGAAAGCAGTTTGCATCATATTGGCAAGCAATAACCAATGACATGGGAAATTTCTGTGACACAATCACACCCAAGATCCTTCCCCACTCTAAAAGATACCACAACTCCTATAGATAGTACATCTAAGATCATGGCTACTAGAAATAGAGAAAGTTTAATTATGCCAGCAAATCTCTAGAAAGGTGGACAAATATAGATGAATCCTCTATCTTCCACCGGGTGCAATGTATGCTGATAATCAGTTAAGGCAATTAAAGCTTACATGCAGCAACAATTCAATGACAGAAGGTCCTAATTAAAGAGTTCCTCAGGCAAGTGAAACCACCAGCATCCTAAACATATAGAATTAATTTCAAATACTTCATATGGGCAGTTCTATGATTCGAAAAGCCCTCAGCTAACAGTCCGAGATACTCATTCGAAGCCATAAATCATACAAATTCTCTAGAAAATATACCAAAAGCCAATCTGTTGAGAAAATGAAGAACACCATATGAAGAATTTAATACTATCTAAAATCTACTAGAACAAAGGCGGCGCCTTGAACTGGAATTGGGAATGGTAACAGGAATCACTAAAGTGAAGCCGAATTTTGTATTTTGCCAATAAAAATCATCACTTGAGTATCTTTGTTTCGTAGCAAAGGAAGTAGAATGAATGGATTATATAAGGAAAATAAGAGCCCAAAATCAGCATGAAGTATAAAGTAAAGGGGGTTTCGTCGATAGGGAAAGAGAGTACTTGGAGTTGGTGACGTCGGTGAAGAGAGCAAGGGAGAGGGTGCTTCCATTGTTAATCTCGAAGACTTTCATGGCTGCCTGCTTCTTCTTCTGCCTCCAGGAGAATGACTGCTTCTTCTTCTGCCTCCAGGAGAATGACGACTTCGGAAATGGACGCTAGGGTTTTAGAAAGAGGTTTAAACTTTAAACTAGCCAAAAAAAAATTAAAATAATACAATACAAAAACGCGCCAGGTAGGGGTCGAACCTACGACTTTCTGCTTAGGAAACAGACGCTCTATCCACTGAGCTACAGGCGCATTTGATCTCAATTTGTGGAGACATTTCCTATGTATTAATTGCTTTAAACAGGCTCTGAGAATTTTTAACTACTCTCCCTCCCATCTTTTAAATTCCAACTTTTAATTATACTTATTGCCTAATATCATGAGCCAAATTTCGCAAATCATATTAAACCAAATTATCTAATTTGATGAAGGGCAGGACATATCTATCCTTATACATTATCATATTTCATTAACTAGGTTTTTGTTCAATTCCCTTTTAGGTATTTTGTGGATGAAAAATTGTTCAATGGTGTAAAATGGGCTCTTACTATTTATATTTTTTTATTAATGGTGTAATACGAAATGGTTATAACCAAAAATGAAATTGTTAAAACTGCTAAATTAGTCTTGAATTTAATGAAGAAATTGTGAAATCTGGTGAAAAAGTCAGAAATTCACTTGATATGTGACTCTCTTTTTTTTTTTTGGTGGCCTTCATAATTTCATTCATGACAAAAACCATTTCCAATCTAATAATAATATTTGAATTTTTTTCTAATAAAATTCATCACCGGTCTTGCTTGTAAATTCTTCAGTCGTCCAATAAAAAGTTAGAAAAATGCCGATGAATAAAATTCTATATATGTTTGGGTGATTATTATTCTCAAAATGACCTGGTCAAACTTGTTTACTGATGGGTATTGCATTGCATTTCTATATTCATGCATTACCCCTGAAGCGTCCTGCGTCCATCCCTCATGCAGCCATTCTTCCCATCTCCCTTCCATGGAAGCAAAACTTTTCATTTCTTTTTTGTTCCGTTACCTCCCCTCCGGCGATGTCTCTCTTCATCTTCTCCTACTATGGCTCGTCACTGTCCTTCTCTCCGTCCGCTCGGGCCCTGCTCCTAAAGGTGACATTTTCCCTTCAAAATTCAAACCCTTATTTTTTTTCCTTAAAACATTTCCCCTAAGATTAATCTGCTTAATTCATAATTGAACCTTTTTTTTTTTATGGTTGGATTGCACAAAACTACAAAACATAAATAATTTGGATAAGTGGAACCCCTCTTTAATGCCAATATCTTTTTCTTGAACTATAAAATATATATCTATATTTTTTTAATTTCTAAGGATGAGTTTGGGTTTGAAAGCATTGAAGGGGAAGAGGAGGAGAGGGGAAGGAAAATCTCTCTTTCTTTCTATTTGGATGAACTTTTTAAGTGAGAGAGAATGGGGAGAGGTAGATGGAGGGGATAAAAGCCTTCTAAATCCCTT